AAAAGTACTCCAGAGTGTTGTTCAGCATGGGGGTGAGTAGAAAATGAAGGCTAATCATGTTTTGGGTGTACTATTCCTTTAAGATCCAAAACTCTGAGAAAAAAGTCAGAATTCTGAGATTAAAGTCAGAAATCTGAGAAGAAAAAAAAAATCTGAATTCTGAGATTAAAGTCAGAATTCTGAGAAGAAAAAAAAATCTGAATTCTGAGATTAAAGTCAGAATTCTGAGGGGGAAAAATGCTGAATTCTGAGATTAAAGTCAGAATTCTGAGTTTAAAGGCATAATTCTGTGAAAAAAGTCAGAATTCTGAGATTAAAGTAAAAATTCTTACATTTTTCTCACATTATACTGAAATAAAATGTTAAAATCAGTTAAACTTTTTTTTTTCAGTGGCCCTAATCCTCTTCTGTACATGACCATTACTGCTGCAAGAAGTTTAAATGCGAGCAGCCTATCCACAGCTCGCCGGGTGGAACACAAATGCGTTACATAAAACCCTTCAAGCACCGTAGCCGGTGTCGAAACATATTTCGTTTCAGGTAAATAAAATATATATTTCCCGCCTGGCTGGATAGTCTCTCCATCCAGCTTTGGCTATTAAGCCACAGCTGCACAGATGTTATATGTCATAATGCTGAAGGCGAAAGTTATTAATGTGTTTCGGCAGCACATGTGCTGTAACCGGCAGAGACCGCGGTCAGTGAACGCACCATTCGGCTGTCATCCCTGACAGCCAAAGGATGCTCCTCAAGGGTAAACCCATCTGTCGTCCACATCTGAACACACACAGCCCGGTGGACGTGGGTGGTGGAGTTCACACTGACTTACCTTGGCTACAGAAATTAAATAGTAGCAGGTATAAGCTGCGCTGAAGCCCAGCACCAGAGACAGCCCCACTCCTGAGCCGAAAAGCCCAACTTTCACTTGATTTTCCAAATAATGTGACAGGTCCCTTGTCAAAACGTTGAAATTCAAGTCCAGCGAGATCATTGCAAGGTTGCTCTTGTCTCTCTCGGAATAAGGACAGCGGCCAGCTCAGTGGGGATTCAGCTGCGTCTGCCTGCGAGCCAACTGTGAAGGAGACGGTCAAGGGGAGCTGAGGAGAGGAGGAATATAAGGACAGGCGAGAGGTGGCGCTCTTTGACCGGCATGCATGGCACTCCCAAAAGGTGTTACTCTGCCCCCTGGAGGCCAGACAGGGAAGGTACATTGCTCTGATTGAACTGACCAGTGACACAAAGCTCAAAGAATTTACCCTATTTTGACCAATTCAATGTACATTTACATTTCTGTAATAATATAAAGAATGATGCTTTTACAATCTGGCCAGTTAATAATTACTGTACGTTTTACAGTGCTTTCATTGGGATTATTTGTTTCCCCTATATAAACAATACAAAAGAACACCACATCCCACCCATGGTAGATTAAAATATAATATCATTGTTATTTAACTGAGAAGCTTTTATATTCTTTTTTTTATACCTGAATATTAAAACCAACATGTAAAATAAAAATAAATTGCACATGGCTGGTCATGATGAAATTTGATTTAGACTATCATATTTATTGATTTCCCTTAACAGCCACCTTACCGTGCTGAAGGGGTTTGAGTGTTTCAGTGACCCTAGGTGCTAAGCTTGATGCCTCAAGTAGGGTCACCCAAGGCAGACAGGTCCTAGGTGAGAAATTAGACAAAGTTCAGCCCAGAGACCCTTTATGATGAGTATGATAACCAGTTTTGTTTTTGACAGACATCTTAGATTTAGTTTTAGTCTTCAGGACGAAAACTGTTATTAGTCGCAGACGCATTTTAGTCATTACAATATGTGATAGTTTTAGTCAGTTTTAATCGGACCAGGACACCCTAGGCTGTAGTTCAATGATCGACTGTTTTTGTTTCATCTGATCTGTGGCCGCACATCTTGGACATTCCGGTGAAGAGAGAGGCGGAGCTGTCCACCGACCACTGCCTGGTGATGAGTTGGCTCCGATGGTGGGGCAGTAAACTTGTCAGACCTGGCAGGCCCAAACCCGTTGTGAAAATTAGCTGGTAACATCTGGCAGAGTCTCCCATTAGACTGAGCTTTTAACTTCCACTTCCAGGAGAACTTTAAACACATTCCAAGGGAGATGGGGGACATTGAGTCCAAGTGGGTCATGCTCCTGGCCTCCATTGACGAGAAGTCTAGTCTGAGCTGTAGTCGCAAGGTTGTTGATGCATGTTGCTGTGGTACCCCTCAAATGCACTGGTGGACACCAGTGGTGAGGGGTATTGTTAAGCTGAAAAAATAGTATTTTCAGGCTTTCTTGACCTTTCTTGACTCTGGTAGCAGCCAATGGTTACTGGCAGTCCAAGCTACACGTGGCTCGGTTGGTCGCTGAGGCAAAAACTCTGACATGGGACAAAGTCAAAGAGGCCTTGGCGAATGACATCCGTATGATTTTGCGGCGGTTCTGGTCCACCATCAGTCATCTCAGAAAGGGGAAGCAGTGTAGCATCAACACTGTTGGGATGGTATGCTCCTAACCTCAACTCCAGACTTCATTGGTTGGTGGGCAGAATACTTTGAAGGCCTCCTGAATCCCACCAGCACAATTTCCACTGAGGAAGGTGAGCCAGGGGGCTTTGGGTCAGGTTCTCCCAGATCTGGTGCTGTGGTCATTAAAGGTGATTAAAATACTCCTCTCAGGCAAAGCCCTGGGAGTGGATGAGATTGGCTCTGAGTACCTCAAGGCTGTGGATGTTGTGGGGCTGTGTTTGTTAATGTTGTTACCCTGGATGGGCAGACTGGGGTAGTGTTCCACCCTACACAAGAGTGTGTTGTAACTACAGAGGTATCACACTCTCGATACCTCTGGTAAAATCTATTACAGGGTTCTGGAGAGGAAGGTCCATTGGATGGTCAAACCTCGGATTCAGTAGGAGCAATGTGGTTTTCATCATGGTCATAGAACAAAGTATTGGTGCATCTGCAGTAAAACAGGTACTGTACCAGTCTGTTATAGTAAAGAGAGAACTGAGTCAAAAGGGAGCTCTTTTTTTACTGGTTGATCTACTCCCCTACCCTCATTTTTGGTCATGAGCTTTTTGAAGGAAGGAGATTCTGGATCCAAGCAGCCAAAATGTGTCTTTTCTATAAGGTGTGAGGGAACTCTCCAGAGAATGAGAGGGAACCTCAGTCATTTGGAGGGGGCTCAGACTACAACCAGTGCACATCTAAGGAGCCAGTGGAGGTGGCAGGAGAAAGGAGATTGAATAGATGGATGGATGGATGGATGGATGGATGGATGGATGGATGGATGGATGGATGGATGGATGGATGGATGGATGGATGGATGGATGGATAATACTTAGAAGATTGTGTTTTGTGTTCACAGACAAAAGCAAGAAGCTGTAATGTTAATTTTGACCTCCCTGTTTATGTTAGCATTTAAAGATTAAAAATTCAAAACTTGGTATATTGACATTGAAATATGTAATTACGGATAAATAACACTGTGATCTGATTCACAATTTAGAATCAAAATGGTGATTTACAAAAACAGTTTCAAGACAATAAAACACATAATTTTCACCTTATTTACTTTATGTCATTGCATCATGATTTCAGATCACACCCCACCTCTTACCCAAAGACTGGATGACAGGATGATGAATTAAGAGTACAAATACTTACTTGTAATCTCATTCCTGTGAATTCATAGAGCAACTAGGTTCAAAATCATTCATTATAATTTTACAGAAAAAATACATACAAAAACGTTTTCAGAAAGTGATTAAAACAAATGAAATATACTTGTAGGGCAGCGGTAAACCTGATGTCATAACTGAAGCGTAGTAATGCACCTGTGTTTACAGACTCACAAGGGACTCAAATGTTCCAGCTTCACCGCATAGTCATTTTCAGTAATTTAATTAACAGAGAATATATTGTAATCCAAAGGGCCTTGAGGCAACACTACAACCCAACAGAAACTGTGTTGTCTAGTGCAGAAACGTTTTTTTTTTACAAGGTTACTATGCAAAACATATTTTTTAAGGTATTAAAGTATTTACAGATTACAGGATTAACAGATTTATTAGGTATTGCAGTATTATTGAGGAGACTTTGTGTATACAAATTTGATTATTCTTAGACACTCACAGATCCTGAATAATTTATATAATACATGACATTTGAGCTATTTTCAAAATGATCATCTCTCTCTCTCTCTCTCTCTCATTTTTAAATCTAAGCCGCCCTAAGATTATATGGAGGCCAAAGCAAAGACTTGTTTTGGAGTAAATCATTTTCCAACCAACAACCACTGGACCACTACAACTGTTTACATCTTCATTTAGATTGTAAACTGGAGTGACTGCCACTTAATCTTAAATTTTATTAGAAAAGGTGTTTATTTACTTTAGCTGTTGAAAAGTAAACACTATGTGTGATAGGTTTATTTTTCTTACTTATTAAATTAATCTGGCAGCTCTTTTCAATGAGGACTTGGTAGTATCTGCAAATCTTACTGTCAGTGCAAATTCTGAAGCAGCTACATTCATGATAAATGAAACAGAAATATAAACTCTTTATATGCATATTTAGTGAGCCCCTCTATTTGGAGGAGAAGCATATAAACAATAGTATAGTTTACAACCAAAAATCTTATAATGCATCACAAAGAAGATATTTATTATGCATATGATAGGTAGGCACACTGATTTGTTACTAAAAATCAACAACCTTCCTCCAATAAAAAAAAAATATATAGATGTTTATTCCATCAGAATATTGTACGTATATCATCTTTTCAACAGTGTATATCCCCACTGAATAACAACAACTTTTCAACAAACTGTTGATGATCAAACTGTTCTCAAGTGTATGTGTAGTGGATGGACTACTTAGTGCCATACCTATGTCATTGTCCATGTGTAGATGTGCTCGATATTTTATTTTGAAAACCATTGAAGTCTAAAAGCCAGACTTACACATTTAGGTTACATTTTAATGCTTCTTTCGCCATGGTGGGATTTTTTCTTTCTTAGATCATGAGGCAGAGAAGGAGCCTAAAAGCTCAATTTTTAAGCCCCTGAGTGTGACTTTGTTCTCTCAATATGATATATTGTTTGAAGTATGCTCACACTGAGCCTGGTTCTGTTGGAGGTTTCTTCCTGTTAAAATGGAGTTTTCCTCTCCACTGTCACTATATGCATGCTCGATGTGAGGGACTGCTGTAAGCAAGACAATTATGTAAAAATGTTTCCAGACTGTTTAGCACAGAAATTAGTACACCAAATTCTATACTTTAAATCCATTTTTGAAATTAAAATCTTGATAATCCATAAAAAATTTTAAACAACCTTGTATTATTTAAGTGTTTTCAAGTACCTGTAAATTAAAAATGCTCTGAGTTGATCAATAAGAGCAGATTTTTTTTAGCTTTCTGTAAAAAGAGTCAATCATTTTAAAATAGTGTTGTAGTTTTTTTTACCTGTATGTGGGAAATTTTAACAAAGTAAGGTGTGAGTGACATAGAGGTTTAAACAATAGATAGGGTCTCCAATTCCTTGTTTAGAAATAGTAAATCTGGGGGTTACATTACCGTGGGCGGAGCTTGATGGGGGGCCAGAGGTGGCCATTGCCACCCCTAGCATTTTTTTTCTCTCAAGTAGAATATTCAAAACATTTTACTTTTCTATATATTTACAATGACTTGACAACAAAAACACTGTGGTTAATTATGCACATCAATATACCAACATTAGAGATGATTAGTACACAATTCCTGCTCTTTCACAACTAGATTTTGTGTTATATGCCGTAAAGAGCAAATAATGTGTCTCTGCAAGTCATCTAAGAGTCTTCAGTGAAATCATAGATACTGTAAATAACTATTTTAATAAAAACCTATTAAATTATCAATTTATGTAGATATTTACACTTGTTAATATCAATTTAATGTAGAATGATATTGATAAAAGTAGGTAAGTAATGACGATGGAAAAGATGTTCGCTCCTGAAAGAATTTTATCCAATATACCTTTTAGCTAGAGTGATGTTTAAATAT